CACACACACACACACAGAACTCCCTGCAATTAAATTTAAAAATTCTATAGTATCTGAGAGAAAGGTTTTGCACTAGCTTGCTATGCTAGTGTTTCTGCTTGGGAAACTGTGAAACTATCCTGGTGTACTGTGTCCAATTCTAAACACCACAGTTTAAGAAGCACATTGACAAGTTACAATGTGCGCACAGGAAGGCAACCGAGATGATCCAGGGTCTGGAAACCAAGCCTTATGAGGAACAGTTGAAGGAGCTGGGTATATTTAGCCAGGAGAAAAGGAGACTGAGAGGAGACATGATAGCTATCTTCAGCTATCTTAAAGAGGGCTGTGCCATGGAAGAAGGAGCATGCTTATTTTCTCCTGCTCCGTAGCACCCAAATCAATAGCTTCAAGTTACAAGAGAGGAGATTCTGACTAAATATCAGGAAGAACATTCTGACAGTAAGAGCTGTTTGACAGTGGAACAGACTCCCTCCGAATGTGGTGGACTCTCCTTCCTTAGAGGTTTTTAAGCAGAGGCTGGAGGGCCATCTGGTCACAGGTGCTTTAGCTGAGAATTCCTGCTTTCCATGAGGTTGGACTCGATAACCCTTGGGACTCCTTCCAACTCTAAAACTCTATGTTCTGTGACTCTATACTTGCTGAAAAACTGATTTTTCAATTGATTGATTGATTGATTGATTGATTATTAACTTGTTGACTCAGTTTATAAACCACATATTGTGAAACAGCTCAAAGGGATTTAACAGTAACAAAGATCAACAATGAAAACAATTTTTAATAAAAACAATGAAGACATGGGGAGCATTCCAAAAATAAAAATAAAATGTGAACTGCACCTGTAATCTTAAACTCTACAATCCTTTGTTTTTCTTTTTACTATCTCAGGAATTCACATAATTCAGCTCCATGCTTATGTGAGGCCTGGATGGAAAGTAATTCCCAGAATTCCCTGAGAATAGCGGAGTCTCCTAGCAACTCTCAGCATCCTTAGCAAACTACAGCTCCCATAATTCTTTGGGAGAAGCCATGTCTGTTTACAGTGGTATCTTGGTGCTTTAAATGCATGGTTCCAATGTGTCCAATGTCATGGGGACGGTTTATAATGAACATAGCATTATCCCAAAGCCTTGGTATCATGAGGACTATCCATCAATCAGAGAGCAAAAGAAAATCATATGTCAACTGATGCTACAGGTGATGGGGCAAGTCTGAATTTTCAGGTTAGGGCATGCCAACATAACTTCATCCAGAGCAAAGGGAAGGTGTTAAAACAATTTAGAGTGGAGTGTAGCTAATTAGAGCAAAGAGGCTTCCATCAAGCTGATCTCATCCATCAAATGTCAAAAAAAGGCCAAAGGTGAAACCATTTATCGTTCCTGATAACCTTTCAGTCCCAAGGAGGTGAGATGTCTCTTAAGGGGGGAACTTTCTGAAATGCTGACTTCTTAAGGACACAAGCTCATCCCCACCAGCCCAGTTCATAAATTAAGGTCCGACTGAGGGTGACAAGATTGGTCACGCTTCAGATGTGCCAGTGATGAACCTTGATGGGAGAGAAAGAGAGAGAGAGAGAAAATCAGTGGTGGGGGAAAGGGGTAGTGGTAGATTTAAAGTCGTCCACAAGCAAAGAAAATTATAAGGGAAGCCCAAATGTCAAAACAACCCATATGATGACATCTTTCTTCATAACTAAATGCTAACTGAGTACTGTGTGAAAACTAGGGTGGTGATAGTGGAATGAAGCAGCTGGAATCATGCTACAACATTTTGTTGCAGGTAAGGCTCACATATTATATATACACTGATATGATCTTGATTCTCTGTCTGCTAGTCCTTACATAACCGAAAAGCTCCACTCATGCAGAAGAGGGGAATAATACAGTGGTGTAGCATTGGGGGGCCGGGGGGGCCATTGCCCCGGGCACACAATCAGAGGGGGTGTCAACCAGGCACGCGCGCACACCGCAGAGATCCCCATCATGCGCCCTGTGTGCTCCACCCAGTGCTCAAGCACCCACCGATGACACCTGGGGCAAGGGCTGGACGAGCACACTCTGCCCCCACATGGGGTGCATGCACATTCACCTCCCCTGGCAAACGGTGCCATGCCCCTGGAATAATAGGAGGTTTGGAGGAAGTCCAAGTTTTACAGAACAAAGATTTTGCAGGCTCCTAAAGAGGGAGGGATTTGAATAACCCCATGGGAACTGCATGTGCTCAACTGACACAAAATGCCAAGCAGCTGTTAGAGGGGAGAGAAAACTTGCTATGTACCTCTGCATTTCAAGGACTATTGCACCACTTTGTGAGTTGTGGCTTCCCCCAAAGAATCCTGAGAGGCTAGTTCAGGGTGCTGACCTCACCAAAGCTATAATTTCCTTCACCGTGAACAAACTACAATTCCCAGGGTACTTTGTGACAGTTAAAGTGGTGAATGAGTCCTTTAAATGTATGCATGGGTGTGGCCAGGATTTTTGCTAGGGGGACAAGGCCTTTTCTGTGGGGAAACCTCTTAGCTATGTATTTTTATTAATTTTTATTGATTTAGGGGGAGCAGCTGCCCCTCCCTGCCGCCCCCCCGGCTACACACATCAATGTATGGTGTGGATGTGAACCAAGCAGAGAAACATTCCCTAATGCAAGACTGAGTCTCCATCTGCAATGCACATTTAAAGTAGTATCATGTCAGTTTCAACAGTCATGGCTTCTCCCAATTCATCCTGGGAGCTGCAAAATGTTCAGGGTGCTGAGAGTTGTTAGTAGGGCCCTATTCGCTGTGGGTTAAACCACAGAGCCTAGGACTTGCCGATCAGAAGGTCGGCGGTTCGAATCCCCGTGACAGGGTGAGCTCCCGTTGCTCAGTCCCTGCTCTTGCCCACCTAGCAGTTCAAAAGCACGTCAAAGTGCAAGTAGATAAATAGGTACCGCTCCAGCGGGAAGGTAAACGGCGTTTCCGTGCGCTGCTCTGGTTCGCCAGAAGCGGCTTAGTCATGCTAGCCACATGACCCGGAAGCTGCACGCCGGCTCCCTTGGCCAGTAAAGCGAGATAAGCGCCACAACCCCAGAGTTGTCCGCAACTGGACCTAATGGTCAGAGGTCCCTTTACCTTTACCTTTTATTCCCCTCACAGAGCTATGATTCTTCTCAGTGGTTTAACTGTCAGTCCTTCTTCACAGGGAACTATAGGAATTGTTGCTTTGTGAGGGAAAGAGAGGTTGGCAATCCTCCGCAACAGGGCGCTTGCTGTAGCTGGAGTAATATAACTTCCACCAGCCTTTGCCAGCACAGCTAAAGATGCACCCTTTTATCCTGGCTTTTGACAAAAGAGTTGCATATTTTAAGGACTCGCCTCATTTCTGTGGTTGCAAGTTGTTTAAAACTCTTTTGAACATGGTGCTCTAATTGTTGTAACCTGCCCTGGGAACTTAGGGTGAAGGGCCAGATAATAATAGTGATAACAATATCAGGGAGGGCAGTGCTTTTTTTCTGGGGGGGACACAGGGGTATGCATACCCCTAAACGTTTTGTGAATCTAAGTTTGGCCTCACTGAGGGGCAGTATTTCAATATGAGTAGGAAAATGAGAGTATGCCTAAACATTTTTTAGGAAAAAAAGCACTGAGGTAGGGGCATGGCCGGAGGGGGGAGGGAAGGGGCAGCTGCCCCCCTTGTAAAACAATAGAAATACTTAACTGACCAATTATGTTATTTCTGTCCCCCCAACAAAAGTCCTACCCCACCCTAACCAAGTCGTCCGTCCCCGTCCCCGTCCCCAACACTACTGCCTACTACACCCATTATATAAGGGACAATGAGACTGTGATCCAACACTATCTGGAGACAATCCCTGGTAGAGTAGTATATTACCCATTACCTGTCCTATTAAGAAGTATACCAAAAGGCAAGGCGCCGAGGGGCAGGGCTAACCACCTGGCAGCACCTGTGCGGTACCCATACAGACTGTGCATGTCAAGTTAAGTCGAGTAACCTTTATTGGCATCACTTAAAAACATTCAGAATACCAGTACATTCAGAACAGATAGGCCAGTGCGATCTCAAACTGTGCATGTGTGGCAACTGTACAGAGTGCACATGCGCGGCGCCCATACGGACAGCACTTGAGCGGCAGCCCGTACAGACAGCGCATGCGCAGAAGCCCATATGCACGCTGTGTGCGTGTCCTCGGCCGCTCTACAGCTGGGGGGAGGCACAATACCATCTTGTCACCCCCATCAGGGTGGCACCCAGGGCAGACCGCCCCCTGCCCCCCCTTCGTACGCCCCTGCCAAAAGGTGGGAATAAACAGATGTCAACATTTTCATGTATTGTGGGCTCTGAGAGATAAAGTCTGGGGGCTGCGGGGTGGGGGCGGAAATCTACAGTTTCAGCTCCGGTCTTCAGTAGAAGGCAAAATAGGGGTTAGGATTGTAGGGCAGCAGATGTCAATGAGGCAGAGAGTTCCACAGATGCTGCCTGACATCAGCGGGGGGGGGGCAGGACATATCGAATGGGAAATGTACGGAACAGACTAGGGTCACACGCTCATCATATGTTTGGCGCACTTTAAACAATGATGGCTTCCCCCAAAAAATCCTGAGGACCATAGCCTGTTAAGAACTACAATTAAAGTGTTAAAGTGTTATAAGACTGCTTTACATGTGGATGTGACATGGGGTTAGAGGAAAGAGGGGTAAAATGATGTCCCAGTAATCCCGTCTCAAAACAACAGCCAATAAATGAGAAGTATTTCTGGACCCAAACGTGCGGGACTGAGTATGTACTTCGTGAGGAGAAGGGGTTCCACGGTGAAAGATCAGTCGCGCTTTTCTTTCCTCAAACCAGGATGTTCCAGTAGCCCTGACACCAAGACTTCCCTCGCCTAGATAGCGCGGGAGAAGGGAAAAAACAAACAACTCAGTTTTTACTTCAATGCGCTCCCGGTTCCACCCGTTCCAGGGGGCGCCTGAGCAATCCATAGACATACGCGTCGTCGGAGATTCCCACTTTCTTGGACGTGAAGGTGACAGCCCGTCAGGGAGAGGCAGCGTCGCCTGGCCAGGCCTTTTCTGGGATCCGGAGGGCTTGGCGCGCGGTGCAAAGTAATGGAAGGGAGTGGAGAGAGAGTCCTCTGGGCGACCCTTGGGGACCGATTCTCGGCCTTGCTTCTTCTTCTCCTCCTCCTCGCCATCGGGGCGCCTGGTCCCTCGGGCCCGGCCACAGAGACGCCTCGCCAAAGCCTGGGATCGGGCAGGGTGGGGCGCCAGCTCTGTCGAGGGGAGAAGAAAAAGCAGAGAAGGGAGAGGCTGAAATCCGATTTCACACCAATTTGGAAGAGCGACGTCAGCGCTTCTTTGAGTGATCCAAAGCCTCCGAGCGGACAATTTTTTTATTTTTATTTTTTAAAAAGAATTCCCCACGAGGTAGAAACTTCAAAGGGCGGAAGAGTAGATAGGAATCCGCAAGTAGCGCGCAACGGCCGATCGTTCTAGACGAGGCTGATTGCCAGCCGTGATAATGGTTATTAATAATATGATGATGAATGGCTTTTACGAATAGGGATCTGATACCTGTATAAGGATAGATACAGTCACAGAATGTCAAATGACCTTGGATAGTCTGGCCTCGATGGCATCCATCGTGGTTGTTTAATGTTATTGTTCTTCAAAATAAGTGCATAGTTAGAATAATTGTCCTTTAGAATAACAGAAAAAAAGGAACTGGAGAGGGGCGCCTATCCTCAACCTTACACCAATTTAGAAAACCCTCAATAACTTTCATGCTATTCTTTTTTTTTATTTATGAACTGGGCAACTAGACTCGAGAATACTGGGTTTATTTATTTTCACTTTGACTTCTCGCTCTCTCTTCTAATTTCCTTTAAATACCTGCAAATTAACAGAAACGCTGATGTACAGAATGATCGACCTAATCTCGCCAAATGTTTAAATCTTGTGGCGACCAACGAAAGAGCTTTGAGACGCCTGCTAGAATTCTCAAACTATAGGGGAAATACTGTTATTAAAAATAAACAACGACAACAATAGTAACATGGTTAACTATTAACTAGTAAAAGTTAATGATATTAACAATGTTAATAATAGTATTACTAATAATTCATGAACACATTGATAATGATACTAAGAAATATTAATTTATTTAATTTGTATGGATAGTATAATTTATACAATATCATATATGATATAGCATTAACTGTAGTAATAAATATTGCCTTCCTTAATTCATATTAATAATGCTGCAATGTAATTATTAATATCTTTAATTTGTTTAACATCCTTTAAATCCCGTTCTTGCTCTCTAAGGGAATCAGAGCAGTGTTCAAGTAAAGCACAAATAAATATTAAGCAAACAGCAGAAAACAGTAAATTTCACAACAGCCAAAACAACTAGGAACATACCAAAAAACCCCTACAAAAAACCACATTAAACACAAAAGTTTTAACGGCCCCCTACACAAATACAAGTAGGGAAGAAGCAGTGTGGGTCTTCCAGGGACTCGGGATACAGTTAATATTGCCATCGTCATATATTATATTACTTTAAGTAGTGGTGGTGTGGGTGTTAAAAGCCTGCCTTTACACGTCTTTAGTTTTGTCTAGGTCAGGAAGCAAGAACGAAGGAAGAGCGAAAGTTCCTGCGTATTTGAGACAATTTAGCTACCGCAAAATATACTGCTCAAAGTCATTAGGGGAAGAAGAGATGTTATGTATATATACATCGGTAACGCTCAGGCTATCAATGCAATATGTATAATAATCTCATATTAGGGACGATAATTAAAATATCGTACCGGATTATATCTTCGCCGAGTTGTTTCCACAATCCTGGTCGCGTTTCCTTCCGTCTGTTGTATCTATCCTTAATCCTTCGTCTCATTTCTAGAAGAAGACGTTTGAATTAAGCTTAGTGAAAGCCTTCTTTGGGATATTTGGGTTTTTTTCTCCAACTGTTTGACAAAAAGAAAAGAAGCCTTTTTTTAAATTGGGGGGGGGGGGGTTCAATTTTATTTTGTTTCGAAATTCATTATCTCATTCACCCATTTCCCCCACCCGTTTTGTTTGGCTATTTTGGGGCTACCAGCCAGTGTTGGTTCCACTCAGAGTAGACCCGCTGAAATCAGTAGAGAGGGCCTACTTAGGATCCATTTATTTCAGTGGGCTTACTCTGCTTAGAATTTACATACAACGCAGTATTATTTATAGGAGCTATGATTGCTCATTATTACCAATCGTCGTGGCACTTAGGAGACAAACTGTTTTCAAATTCCTTCGGTAGAGCTTATTCGAGTACGCGAGGCAAGAGTTTGTTTGCGTGTGTGTGTGTGTGTGTGTATACACATATGATGTGGACGTTACACGATCAAACGCAAACCTGTTTTTATTATTTTTAAATACCCCCCACCTAAATAAATTAAATAAATTAAAAATTCTCAAGCGAGTCATCCGGCACAAAACAGCCATGTTTGCCGTGCTGGACTCGCGTTGGATTTCACCCGAACTGCCTGACTGGGATTCGCCTCCCACCCCCCACCCCCCACCCCACCCCGCGTTTTAAACAGAGCGAATGGAATTTTAGCACATTGGTGGGATCAAAGGAACGGGGAAGGAAATGGCGATTGCAGTTGTACCTTATGAAACGGGACCCCTAAAGGTCTCTCTCCCCCCACACGCCAGTCTCATCAGAAATCTGGAAACGGCTCTTATTTGTGGCGGGGCGAGGGAAAGGTCTGTGGGCTACCCCTTGATATCCCCTTCGCTGGATTTACTGAAATCGAATAAAAAAATAAAATGGGATTGTGTGTGTGTGTCCCCACCCCTTCCTGTAGAATCCAGGAAAACGCCCCCCCCCCCCTCGCAATGTACTTGTGAGAATGTGTTTACTGATTTATTTATTTTCATTCTGGATTTATTGCTGCATTTTCCTGAGATATGCTTTGTAAGCAGCTTGGATAACGCAGTGTCTGGGCGGCTGATCAACGCGGCTGAAATAAATAAAATACCCCACAGATTTGAAATCACTAATTTATTTTGGGCTGGGGGGGGGGGCGACGGTCGCGTGCAGGTTCTCAGAATGACATCCCTAACAAGGGGAGGTCGGACAATCCGTTCATAAACTGTTGTTTAAAACAAACCAACAAACAAACACGCCACTGATTTTATCAGGAGAGATTCCAGCAGGTGTTGGAAGTCTCAGTGGAAACAATGGACATGAAATGTGTTGGGGAGGGGCGGGAATGATCTGGATCCCACTTCCCAGCACTGAAAAATAAATTCAATTTCAGTCCATTAAACCTGCTTCTGGTTTATGCCCAGGTAGGATTAAAATCCATGAATGATGAATCCGTGTGTTTTTACGGATTTTTTAAAAAGTTAAAACGAACATCAATATAATTAAATGAGAACTATTGTTGAATTATGATTATGATAACATTTATGACCTGCCCTTTACCAACAGATCCCCTGCGGAGGATACAACAATTTAAAACTGTTAAAACATAATACAGTCACAGGAACAGGGCTGTATTATTATTATTATTATTATTATTATTATTATTATTATTATTAATTCGACTAGATTATAGAATCAAGTTCCTTTATTTCAGTGAGTCTACTCTGAGTTAGTCGGATACAACCCATTATTATGCACTGATCCAATCTTAGGAGTTAATTCCTAGGGGCCAAGGTCCCTTTGCCGCCTCCCCATTAAAATATTTGAGAGCGCTACCTCCCCCCCCCCCCCCCCAGGTTGACGGGCATTATTATTCAAATAGTGTGTGCGAGCCCCGTCTTGTGATCGATTATGTCGACGGGGCTCACCTGGGCTCCCCCAAAATTTTATTCAACTTGGCACCACTGGCAAACAAACGTCTAAACCCCATGCATTTCCGAGGGAAGTTTTCACACTCGTGTTTGACTTTCATGCTGAAATAAATGTAAAACACATATGCCTGAGGAAATCACTGTCCTATCTGCAGTCGCGATATCAATTCCTCCTATATAACTTTTCCATTACCGAAGTCCCACCACTTTCCAAAAACCATTTTTGGACAATTGGGTCCTGACCCCAAAGGGAGATAATGAGTTCGTGGTTTCTAAATCGTGTTTACTTGATAGATTATATTAATCGCAATGAAGCGGTTTTCCGGTGCGTAGTGCGATAGGGCGCAGGCAGAGATGACCGTTTGGGTCCTGACCGTCAACAGGTCGCTTATGGACCTTATTCCCGCGGAAGGCTGCCGATAGTGCGCGCCTAGACATTTTTTTACACGCTGGCACGCACGCACGCACACACAAGTTCAGGTCGCGATTCCAATCTAAGCGTTTTTGTAGCCGCTTCTTATCCGTGGGAATGAATCCGCAGTTTGATTCCATGCGCGTTTGCTTGGGAGTAAATTCAGTGTACTGCCTTCTTTGCTAGGAAATCTATATGCTTAAACTGCGCAATCCTGGTACCAGTGCCACTGACAAGTGTGTGTGTGTGTGTGTGTGTGTGTGTGTGTGTGTGTGTTTTCAACCAGTGGATTTCATAACTACTTAGGTTTGTTGGCTAAACTGTGTGAGCACCTTGAGACAGAGAGTGGACGAACAAGAAGCTGCTTTTTATCCCATTGGCAGCGCCTCTCTAGCAATTCAGACAGGACGTCTATCTCCCAGCCCTACCTGGAGATGCCCCGGGTGCACCCGGAGACCTTCTGTGTGCACTGGCGTAGCAACCCCCGCCGGCGATCACCCAGAGCTGCTGAGCTTTTTGTGGGACATCGCCCTACCCAAGCACCCGGAGGGACTGTGTCTCCCAGTCGCCCTGCCTTCCTATGCTACTGTCTGCATCCAAAACAGACTCTCTCCCACTAGGCTGAAAATACTTTATCTGAAATATTATCTGAAAGTAGATGCCTCTCCAAAACTAGGGTACAACCTCCCATCTGCTTCCTTTTATTCTGCCGTAAATTGTCATAGATGTTGGTGGAGTCAACCAACGTTTGAAGGTGGTGGACTTTGGTAAATATCGAACGGGGACTTGACTGTTCCTCTCAGCTAAAATAAATAAACGAAGCCAGCCGTACAGACCCAAGCCAATTTTAATCTGGAGCAAACCCCACTGTGTTAAGTGAAACATCCTCCCAGGAAAGAGGGTGTCTAGGATAGGATAGCACCCATCGAACTCTGCCGGACTTCCTTCTGAACAAGTGTAGGAATTCGGGGATTCATTGAGGATAAGGCAATGTACCACCTGCACTCTCGGAGCGAAGGCCAATGGCTGGGAATCGCAGGCGAGGAGAGCGCCGCTGCGCTCAGGACCTGCTTCTGGGATTCCCTTGGAGGCGTTGGGTTGGCCACTGTGACCACCACAGGAGACTTTGGCCTGAACTTCTGTAAACCCCGGTACTGATCTAACGACACTGCGCGCATGGGGGTGGGGGTAGGAGAGGCAACTTCCCCCCCTAAATCAATAAAAATAAATACAAATCCCTCTAACAAAAATCCCGGCTACGCCAATGATTGCAGGTTGCACTGAGATCACCGCTCCAGGCAGGGGCGGATCTATTCTGAAACTAATATTCTGAAACTTCAGCTTCAGGGTCCCTTATCTCGCAGGGGCCCCAGAAGCAACCTCAGTCCAAATCGCTTTTTAAAAATGAGTCTAGTAGACCTAATTTGAGTTGCATGGATTTGAGTGAAATTGCTTGGGGTTTTTTGTATATATTTTAACAAACCCAACGTTTGAGAATCAATAGCACAGATGTTGTAAAGGTTGTTGCAAACAACCGCACTGAAGAAGATAATAGTAGATACCCAGACCTGTTGCTGGTTGCAAAGAGGCCCCCATAACAGTTCAAGCTTCAGGGCCCCCCCAAAAGTAGGTAGGTCACTGACTCCAGGTAGTTACAAACCCAAAACGGCTGCGGAAAGGAAAGGAAAGGAAAGGAAAGGAAAGGAAAGGAAAGGAAAGGAAAGGAAAGGAAAGGAAAGGAAAGGAAAGGAAAGCCAGTTGTGGTGTAGAGCTTAGACTGCCGGATTTGGACCCTGGGAGGTCAAAATGATTACGATGATCAATCACAATAACCCTGTGAGGTAGGTTAGGCTGAGAAGCAGTGGCTGTTTCCAAGATCACCTAGCGAGCTTCATGGTCGAGTGGGGTCCTAGTCCAACACTCTACCCACTGCACCACACTGCCCGTGAAATTGTCTGCGCACCCTGCCCCACTGCCTCTCAGTCCCTAACTCACAGGGTTGTTGTGCGGATTAAATGAGGAGAACCGCAAATGCCGCCTTCGCGTTCATTGGAGGGGGGAAAATGGGATAGATGATAGATATATAGATGATAGATAGATGATATAGATAGATGATAGATAGATATAGATTATAGATATAGATAGATAGATAGATAGATGATAGATGATAGATGATATATAGATAGAGATAGATAGATAGATAGATAGATAGATAGATAGATAGATATAGATGGCCAGCCAGCACCAGAAGTAACCCTACTGCATCGCCAGGAGGCTAGGAATCGAGGCCACGGGATCCCCAGTCGCTGCGGAGAGATCCCCTTTTCCTTTCCGGGAAGTCCTAAATAGCATGTTATATTTTTAACCTGTTCCAAGTCGCAGAGCCTGTTGGAACTTGGCGGAGGGCGTAAAAGAGTAGGCACCTGCTCCGGGAAGCAGGTTGGTGTCCACCTCGCCCCGTTCTCACTGAGTGACCGCAGAGTGGGGGCGGGTGGAGGAAGGAGTGTGTGCCTTTCCTGTGATTTATGCCTCGGCCAAGGCGTGTAGGAGCGAGCTTCCCGCTCGACCGCGCTGGCTCTGAAGGCTCCGCTATAAATTACCCGCTCGCCGCTGCGCAAAAGCTGCCGAAGGCCGGCGGGGAATTAAAAAGCCCCAGAATGGGCCCTTTGAACGCCAGGAAACCACATTTTTGAAAAAGGCAAAAGAAGGG